TTTGGTAAATATAAAACTGCTAAAAATCCTACTGTTGTGTAAAAATCAGCATTACTCATCAAGCTGATATTTTGTCTCTGATCTAAAAAATGTTAGCGATATTAATTTCACCTCTCTGCATTTTAAACATATAACATCGTGTTTTTAATTTTGTTTATTTTGAATTAAGACCAATAAAGAGAATTGTTAGTCATCTGCTTTATACTGCAAGGCCTATGGTCAACGTTTCACTTTCGCCTTTGCCATGGTTTTACAACTGTTACGTAAAATACCGAGTCTGAAAGCAATTGAGGAAATGTCGTTTTAGGACTTAAACTGTTGTATTCTAATTCAAATTCCAGATACATTTACATATTTTATTTGGCTTAGAATTAAGATAGTTTAGTAAGCAAAAATTAATCTTAAAAAAGGTACTTATGAAAATATGTATGTTTTTTTGCTTGTGGTTCCCAGGATGGATGAGTTTAATATCTTCTCACCCTGAGCAATATGAGGATCTAAATCAGGACGTGTGGGTAGGGTAAGTCAACTTTGTACCTAAATCAGGACGAGTGGGTAGGGTAAGTCAACTTTGTACCTAAATCAGGACGTGTTGGTAGGGTAAGTCAACTTTGTACCTAAATCAGGATATGTGGGTAGGGTAAGTCAACTTTGGACCTAAATCAGGACGTGTGGGTAGGGTAAGTCAACTATGTACCTAAATCAGGACGTGTGGGTAGGGTAAGGCAACTTTGTACCTATATCAGGCATGTGGGTAGGGTATGTCAACTTTGTACCTAAATCAGGACGTGTGGGTAGGTTAAGTCAACTTTGTACCTAAATCAGGACGTGTGCGTATGGTAAGTCAACTTTGTACCTATATCAGGACGTGTAGGTAGGGTAAGTCAACTTTGTACCTATATCAGGACGTGTAGGTAGGGTTAGTCAACTTTGTACCTATATCAGGCATGTGGGTAGGGTAAGCCAACTTTGTACCTAAATCAGGACGTGTGGGTAGGTTAAGTCAACTTTGTACCTAAATCAGGACGTGTGGGAAGGGTAAGTCAACTTTGTACCTAAATCAGGACGTGTGCGTATGGTAAGTCAACTTTGTACCTATATCAGGACGTGTAGGTAGGGTAAGTCAACTTTGTACCTAAATCAGGAGATGTGGGTAGGGTAAGTCAACTTTGTACCTAAACCAGGACGTGTGGGTAGGGTAAGTCAACTTTGTACCTATACCAGGCATGTGGGTAGGGTAAGTCAACTTTGTACTTAAATCAGGACGTGTGGGTAGGGTAAGTCAACTATGTACCTAAATCAGGACGTGTGGGTAGGGTAAGGCAACTTTGTACCTATATCAGGCATGTGGGTAGGGTAAGTCAACTTTGCACCTAAATCAGGACGTGTGGGTAGGGTAAGTCAACATTGTACCTAAATCAGGACGTGTGGGTAGGGTAACTCAACTTTGTACCTAAATCAGGACGTGTGGGTAGGTTAAGTCAACTTTGTACCTAAATCAGGACGTGTGCGTATGGTAAGTCAACTTTGTACCTATATCAGGACGTGTGAGTAGGGTAAGTCAACTTTGTACCTAAATCATGACGTGTGGGTAGGGTAAGTCAACTTTGTACCTATATCAGGACGTGTAGGTAGGGTAAGTCAACTTTGTACCTATATCAGGACGTGTAGGTAGGGTTAGTCAACTTTGTACCTATATCAGGACGTGTGGGTAGGGTAAGTCAACTTTGTACCTATATCAGGACGTGTAGGTAGGGTTAGTCAACTTTGTACCTATATCAGGACGTGTGGGTAGGGTAAGTCAACTTTGTACCTAAATCAGGACGTGTGGGTAGGGTAAGTCAACTTTGTACCTAAATCAGGACGTGTGGGTAGGTTAAGTCAACTCTGTACCTAAATCAGGACGTGTGGGTAGGGTAAGTCAACTTTGTACCTAAATCAGTTTGGTTCATACATTTTTTGATATTCTTATTGTGTTTTATGTTTTGATTGCCTCTTTTTTTTAAAAACAGGTGTGAAGCATTATCGGTCCCTGCTTTTTTTTTACTCAGTTGCATTTATGACATCTATTTCAACAATTTTAGCCATTTAACGTGAAAATATAAATGCAAATATCGTTTCATATGACACCATTTTAATATGTCCCTACTGTCAAATGAAGGATTGTTTTCAAAAACATATATGTCATATACCCATTTGTTATTTTTGTATGCAGTTATCAACTACCAATGAACGGGCCGCATGGTCTGATCATTATTTGGGTCAAATGATGTAGTCCCCTTTTCCCGACAAACAAAGTCGTTTCATTGCAGTTTTGTGCAGATATTATGTAATTGTGATGCTCTAGAGTGAGGAGAAAGGTGGTAGGTTTACAGTTTTGCGATGTTATGGTTAAGATGATGTTAACACACACTGGGACAGTGTTGAAAACATTGACACATTGATAGAGCTGACAGGTTAGATCAGACACAGACACGTCACGTCACAAGTCTGGAATTTCTTTTACGGAAGTAAAAAGTATGATTTAAGAGGCAGCGTGACAGCAAGTGAGGTGTCGGCGGACATTCGCATGCACCTGTAAAGGGAGAGGTATATGGGTGGCTCTGTGTGTGTATGTGTGGGAGAGATAAAAGGGTGGGTGGGTGGAATGATATTTTAGTTATAACAAAATACAAATTTGATGATAATTTTATAACTCCGAGTAAATGGTGGAAAATTGCCAAATCAGTTTCAAACTTTCTTAATAAATCAACATCTACCCCTCTTTAGATAACAGTATTAGAAATGTTATTGCAACCACATGATGACAAGAACGTCTCAATCATCATTTGCTTCCGTATCCACTTCTACAACTGACAAAACAGTATTAGAAATTTTATTGCAACCACATGATGACAAGAACGTCTCAATCATCATTTGCTTCCGTATCCACTTCTACAACTGACAAAACAGTATTAGAAATTTTATTGCAACCACATGATGACAAGAACGTCTCAATCATCATTTGCTTCCGTATCCACTTCTACAACTGACAATTATGAAAGTTCTAGAAGAAACAAATCATTTTTCAGTATCTCTTCAACTATCATCTGACTAACAAAAATATTTCTGAACATCAACCAGGTGTTATACCTGGTGATTCTACTGTAAACCAACTTTTGTACTTCTACAATGAGATAATTAGTATAGTCTAGATAAGGGTAAATACATCACATAATACAAACCTTCAATAAGTAAGGCCTTTGATAGAGTCTGGAATGTAGGGCTTATGAATAAATAAGGTAAATATAGTATGTAAGGCAAACGTATTCGATGGCTTGATAAGTATCTAACTGATAGAAAACATTTTGTTACTGAAGGTTTCTTATTTTTCTTTTCTTTGTACCGGTTATATAAATTAGGTAAAAATGGTTGCCCACAAGGTTCAGTGCTCTGTACATTTTATTCCCTCTAAATTAATGACAACACAATTACAAGATACTGGAATTTTACTAATGTCAATAATCATACATCAAACATCTTAGCACCACTATTCATGAAACTGGATCCTAAAATATTTATATACAAAATATTTTTGAAAAGCATATGAAAACATTAATTTACTAAGGTCCATGCAATAAACATTAAGTGAAAAATTCAGTAACTAAAATGTATTTATCTTATAAACGACCATTATAAGAATATGCTGACGTTTTCTGGGATAATTGTACAGAATAGTCAAAATGTATTATTGAATCTATACAGCTAAAAGCCGTCTGGATTAAAAAAGGTTTGTGAAAACGAACTTTTCGTGCAAAACTTTATAAAGTATTGGGATAGGAAACACTGGAGGAAAGACGGGAAACAAAAACAAGTGTAAATGCATAAACAATATTATATAACGCAGTCCCTACTTACTTAACTGGTATAGTAAAACCTTTCATACCTAGTATAGAGCCAGACACGTACACACTATGAAGGATTCTTTTTTTAAAATAACCCTTTATGCAGATCTAATAATTATATAAAAATTACTTTCCTTCTATTTCCGCAAATATTCCCCTATCTATTAGAAATCTCAAGAAATTTATGTTATATATATATATATATATTAACAACAACTTTATTTGAATCAAATAAACAGTCTGAAGAATCTCCTAGAAGAGATGAAAGTACGAAAGACTCGTTGCTAAGAATTTTTCTTTATATTATATATATATATATATATATATATATATATATATATATATATATATATATATATATACTCCAGTGAAAATGAAGTGACTTTTGAAAAAACAAAATGTACAGAAAATGTAATATTGTTATTTCCTAATTTAGAAATAGGACCATGGACTGTGCAGCCTACACACGGTGTCATCTGGCTGGTCAAGGATTATATGTAACAAAAATAGCATTAATGTGATTTAAAGAACAAATATATTGCCATGCTAAATTGATATGCTAGAGCTACTGATCTATGTATATGTTTATTGTAATTTTCATTTCAAAACATTGTTATCGTTCATAATTATCTCTAATAAGCATTAGATCCTATTCAATGAATTGATTATTTTATTCTATACTTCAGATTTGTATATAACTATATGTATATGTATTGCCATCTGTATGTTATTTGTATGGAAAGGGCGTACATAGGCTATGCATTTGCCCAATCCGTATGAAAACTTTCCATCTGTGTCAATAAAATATGTTGAAATAAACAAATCACTTTACAATATATATAGACATTACCAAAACTAGTGATCTGTTATATTTAACAAATGTGGTAATATACAGTTACATGAGTTTATGTTTGTGTTGTGATAATGTATCTTATTTGAATAATTGTTAGTTATGACAGTCAGAGTATTGTTTCTCATATCTAAACCTATAGCCCTGGTGAAATACTAAGGATTGGACACACGCCATCATTGTTGTACTAACTAGTATATGAAGTTGTCTTCAAGTAGAAGAATAAATAAAAAATACCTTACACATAAAAAAGCGATTGTACTTACCTTGGTAATGTAACTCGGAAGAAAGTTAGTTCGGAATGTGCAGAAATTGAACTCGGTAAAGATGTGATAATCCTTCGTCCTTAATAAGCCATCAACACGTCAGGTAACACTGAATCTCATGTAATTTTGACAATTTTAATGCATTTTTTTAAATAGACAATTATCCAGCAGATACCTTCCGCAACTTTATATAAACTGAAAATTATATTTCACGTGGTTATGTCACTACCGTACGATTGACATATGTATGTGCCTGATATACCGTGTAATGGTGTCATTTCATTAAATAAGTATGTACCGGGGTATCATAACTGTACTCGGACAATTCCTCCCAATTAATCTTCAGACACACATTTTGTTTACCTTGCAGTTTAGATTGATACAATAAGGAGTTGGAAATCCCAAATTGTTCATATGCGCGGCCAGTTAAGGAAGACTTAGGTGGGGATTTCCTGTGTGGGCGTTAATACATACACTGTGCATGGGGAATGTGTAGTATATATGTACTGTTGATGAATATTTTAATAAAACAGGATTCAGCCACCAAACTAGTACAATGAAAGTGAGGACAATTAAACTAACAACATTTATGCAGTATCAATGTGTGTTGATTAGGAATTATTTGTCAATTTAAAGTTAGTTTGAGCCATAATTAAAATGTGTTTCTTATAAAGTTCAGAAAAGGTTGCAATGTATCAGATGTCAGGAATTTCCCCACAAACCTGTTTGTTACTAAGTAATATCTTTATTGCATCGTCCATCAATATGCAATCAACAATATTTTTGTAGCTGGACATTGTTTAAGATTATCTCATTTCTTCCAACTGTGCTTTCTATTTGAAATTAATGGAAAATGAATGTAGCATGCCATCGTTCCGCCGTGACACGTAATCTAAACTAATGCCTATATAAATAATTCAATCAGTTTATTCTGTATGTGTTTAACCAAAAAATCAATTAATAAATAACCATACGCTTTGTACCCTGTACCGTAAACAATACAATCCTGGAGATGTTGAGAAAGTGATAAGCATCGACAAAACAACAGTCCAACCGAATACCGTGTTATTTTATGACCTTATTGAAACTATTTAAGAAACAATTGAGTTTTTACCATGTGGAATCATTGTCAAGTATTGTGTATACATAATAATATGAAATTTTTTGAAGTAAAACTTTATTAATATTGAACTGAGTTCAAAATAGTCTAGCTTGCTTGATATCTTGCTTGATAGGGTAACTTCGTAAACTTAAAAACAAAAAAAGAACAAAACACCCATTACCATTGTAAATCTGAACTGATTTGCATTGATTGTATTTTCTGTATAAAATTATCCAAAATACACTGAATTTCTTGGAACACAATTAATTCTGATATATTGCAATATGAAAATTGTTGGCAATAATTACTCTTTAATTTGTTTGAACCACACTATATTCGCTTCTTCTGTCTATTTTACGAATATCTGTTCTACAAGAAACTGTTCCTGATGACATTTGGGAACTAACTTGGAAACTTTATAAAAGTATGGATGATTTGTCACAATTCAACTCTTCAAGCCTGTATGTACCTGATTTGTCACAATTCAACTCTTCAAGCCTGTTTGTACCGACAGTTACGACTCTCTTAAGTTTACTCAGTTACAAATGAGTGACTGCAATTAACATCAGTAATAACCTAACAATCAAATGTCTAATCTACCAATTAAAAGTTAACTTGATAGTAACACATCTGCTTCTACAACCTACGCTTTCTATATGTTACCATATATACGCTATTTAAGAGCTGGCTCAGAATAGTAAAGTATGTTTCGACGGATGAGGTTGATGAAGACAATTGGCAAGTTTAATGGTCGCCATCATGATTTCATTTGGAAATACTTTTGTGTAACATAGAACTAATTTTTGTATATGTTGAATGGTACGATTTTTATCGTTGCCAATACATGGTTTCTAATTTTGGAGACTTGACATTTTTTGCATTTGACATTTATTTAAATTTTATAAAACTATTTGTGAAAATCATTGGTTTTACCCAGATGATGCTAAGATAAAAAAGCAATGAATACTTGGCAGGTGCCGGTTGTTACTGTTATCTTCGTTTATTGTATCTCATATAATTCATACAAATTTCTACAGTAATACAATTTAATTGGAACATAAAAGGCTTTCATTTTCGCGTCTTAAATACACGTAAATTAAAAAAAATAGATAGCAAGACAGAATGATGCGATGTTTCACGGTCCAACATCTTTTATAAAATCAATTTTATTTTCTCGTTTAACTTTTTAACGTCAAAAAGGGAAATATACAGTTAAATCACATGGATGTAGGCACATGTTTATCTTAGTGACATATAGATTGTAAAGAATAGCAAAACAGTGTTACATGAGAAATAGGGATATTAAACACGAAACAAGGGTATTTTTAAGTCATATAATAAGCGTTAAGAATTACTACATAATCACATGTTGCTTCAATTGAAGCCATTTTAAACACGTTAAATGTCTCAACTGAGGAACAATTGTTAACTTTGTAACTCCTTTCTGTGCCATTCTGAGTCAAGAAGCGATATGAACTTCTGTGATTTGGAGTCCCGGCCAACACTACTGGAACACTTGGAGTGCTGATTTAGTACGTCTGTAAGCATATTCTTCGTTTCCATAAGACGGTATCTAACTCGTTCCAAGTCAGCTTTTCGCTTTTCCTGCAGAGCGATTGTCTAGAAAAGAAACAGATTTGAAGAACTATATCGTCACTTCGACATCAGAAATAACTTTCTTCCAGTGAAAACATCACTAGAACTAATGACCAGAAATACATATATTAAAATATTTCTTTTGAAATCATATTAACAAAATCAGTTATTTATATGTCAACGTTGGAAAGAAGGTGTACGGGTGATAACTGTTCTTGTTCATCGCGCTGAATAGGTATTTAACTTGGATATCAAATTCCGAAAATACAATATCTTAGGCGACCAAAAAGGTTTCTTTATCTTATTCTGTCTGTGTGTTATAAAAACAATCACACATACTTATGATTTATATGGAGTGGAAATGAATCATAGACCTTTAATATATTTTACATGTATGAAATGCTGACAGATGTTCAATAATCTTTGAAAAGAGCTTGTTGTTTGGACAAGAAACTATTTCGCTAAAACTCAAGAAAATAGATCACAATTCGTTACCTCTAGTAGTTGCTTTTCGTACTCTTTCCAACGGTTTCTGGACCGATCAGCTGACTGTCGATTTTGATACCGTCGGCGATTCTTTTTTAACACTTCCGGTAACGTCAACTTAAAATAGAATTAACGGAAACAGAACTATTTTTAACAGCAACAACTAAACAAAATAGAACAAAACGGAGAAAGACTTGTATTATCGTAAACGTTTTGGCAATGCTGTTATCAAATATTAAGCTCCAAATTAGATTAATGTGTCACAAATGCACAATAAGAAATAATGCCAAATATCACATCCTTATTTTGCTGTATATCGACTGATACAGTATAAGAAATGGAATTCTAAATACGATGATGATGATGACGATGATGGAATTACAATTAACTGATATTGTAATTGACAAAGTGACACATTAATATGACTTTTTCATCACCTGACATTATAAATATTGACCAACGTGACATTTCCGTTACCACCTGCTATTGTAAATATTTACCAAAGTGGCATTGCCATCATCATCCTAAATTATGAATATTGACCAAAGTGACATTTCCATCATCACCTGACATTGTAAATATTGATTAAAGTGACATTTCCATCATCACCNAAAGTGACATTTCCGTTATCACCTGACATTATAAATATTGACCAAAGTGACATTTCTGTTATCATCTGACATTATAAATATTGACCAAAGTGACATTTCCGTTATCACCTGACATTGTAAATATTGACCAAAGTGACATTTCTGTTATCACCTGACATTATAAATATTGACCAAAGTGACATTTCCATTATCACCTGACATTATAAATATTGACCAAAGTGACATTTCCATCATCACCTGACATTATAAATATTGACCAAAGTGACATTTCCGTTATCACCTGACATTATAAATATCGACCAAAGTGACATTTCCATCAGCACCTGACATTGTAAATATTGACCAAAGTGACATTTTCATCAACACCTGACATTGTAAATATTGACCAAAGTGACATTTCCATTTTTACCTGAGATTATAAATATTAACAAAATTAAATATTTTCACCATCACCCTACATTATAAATATTAGCCATAGTGACATTTCCATCATCACCTGGCATTATAAATATTGACCAAAGTTACATTTTCATTTTTACCTAACATTATAAATATGAACAAAAATTATTATTTTAATCATCATCCTACATTATAAATAGTGACCAAATCGTCATTTCCGTTATCACCTAACATTATATTGACCAAAGTGACATTTCCATCATCACCTGACATTGTAAATATTGACCAAAGTGACATTTTCATCCTCATCTGGCATTGTAAATATTGACCAAAGTGACATTTCCACCTTTACCTGACATTAAAATGTGATAAATATGCACTCGTGAATATAAACGTCCGCGCAACAGGTATGTGATAAATATCACTAGATATCGATAGACAAAAACAAACTATCATATGAGATTCATATTGCATCACTGTGTTTGTACTGACGCTTCAATTATTTAGTACACCTGGAAAATAAATATTGTTTTATTAATTTAGGTATGAACCAGGGAAATGGATGACAAATAGAGAACACAGCAAGATCAGAAATCAAGAGATACTATGAACATTGAATATAAAATTAGAATTATGCTCAACATAGCACGATTATCCACGTTAAATAAATCAATTTTATCACCGATCAATGAAGCAAAATACCAAATATTCTCAACCCCAAATGTATAACAAACATCAGTGATAAGTAAAGTATAATATCTGACAATTTAATCAAAACATCTTATTAAAAACCGAAAATCTTAACGCACATACGCAGTTAAAATATAAGACATTAAACAATTTTGTCAGAAAAGGTTGATGAAATAAATTAACATAGATGATTAAAACTTATTAAAAACACATAAAACAAAAACAAAAACGAAAGACTGTCTGTTCTCGTAAATAGAATTGATATGGAAGTAATTGCAATTAAATATACTATAAACATGTTATTGTAGTAAAGACAGTCTCTGGTCAAATAACTATTGTATTTCTTTTAAATACTTATAAAACGAGAAAAAAATGAATTCAAGGAGTTCTACGATATTTTCTTTTGTGTATAAAGAAGTCTATATATACAAGATCGGGTTTCGGTGGACTTTGCGCTACGACGAGTTCGTCCTGTCCACTTTTCAGTCGTCTATGCTGTATCTTAAGGCGGAGTTCCTCCTTCAGTAGTGGTAGGCTGCTTCCCTCCTGTAGAGAGATGTGATACGCTCTCTCTAAATTCTGGTCAGGCAGTGACTCGTTTGAATCCGTAGAGTTGACTGATATATCAAATTCCTCCGCAATATCTTGACATAGCATAGTAGCTTACATCTTCGGTAATTATTTTTTTCAGCTGAAAAAAAAATGAACAACTCGATAGATTTATGTCATATAACACACATTATATACATCCAAATAAATGAGAACTTGAATAACAAAAACTGAATGAAAAGAGTATTTTAAATATGTAAATCTTTTCACAAAAATAAAATTTCGTTTATCGAAATATATACCATTAATAAAGACATATTTAAGGATTAACGTGATATGTATACTTATAATTCTTATATAAATTTAAAAAAAAAAACCGATTCAATATTTTCAAACATTTAATTTGATAAATCACGCATCAAATGATGCAATACACAAAATCAATTCAAAAGATCAAAACGCCGACGCCATAACAAAACTGTTTCCATTATACAATCAAAACGCTTGTTACAGTTCTTTCGTCCAAAAGTAGTTCTTTCAACAACTTATTTTCATGTTATGAGCTGATAACTTCAAAATAAAACAATGTAAATGATCGTTTCAAACAGAATTAAATCATATAGATATATACATCAGACCCAAGCTGTGTAAAGTATAAAAATAGGCACAAGATCTACGCTGTTTATTACATATATATATATACACCGAATTCCAGCTGTTTATTATATAGATATATACACAAGACCCAGGCTGTTTACTATATAGATAAAACACCAGATACACGCTGTTTATAACATAAATATGTACATCAGACCGCAGCTGTTTATCATATAAATATATACACCAGACCCCAACTGTTTATTATACAGATATATACACCAGACCCCAACTGTTTATTATAAGAAATATACACCAGACTGCAGCTAGTTATCATATAGATATATACACCAGACCCCAACCGTTTAATGTACAGATATATACACCAGACCCCAGCTGTTTAATATACAGATATATACACCAGACCCCAACTAATTACTATATAGATATGGACATCATACCCACACTGTTACCTAAATAAAATGACACCATATACGAGTATATTCACCAGACTCTAGACCCAAACTACAACTGTTTACTTTTTTAATATTCACACTTTCCTTCAAGTCTGTTCAGTTTAACATACCACATCAGATATAAAAAAGACCACGTAATTTCTTTAATTCTTTTGAACATAATGCTTCAAAGCTTTCAAGCCACACACAAATGTTACGGTATGTAAGTTTAGATTATCTTACAACATCTTCTTTCATCATATTCTTGTTCTACATCTCCAAACCAGTATGGTCCAGATGGACACGTCGTAGTGACTGGGGGTCTAAATATTATACATAAGGTTAAGTTTCGAAAGCTTTCCATGAATTATCCAAAGTATCGGAAGACTGTGACTATACAATGAAAAGGAATTACAGAATGTGACTCTGATGAATTCGATGAAAGAGTACAAGACTCTTTAAAGCCCTAGGCAAAATGAAAGAATATGATTCACTTACTGAATGTTTAAAATCTATTAGGTCAATCATTTAATAATCAATTACCTGCTCTAAGTTCAAAACGAAGACAACACATACACATCTATAATTCTTAATCCATGCGTCAAAACCAAACCCAACAATCTGCATGATAAACATGTAGTTGTGTCTGTAGGTAAAATATCTCATGCATTTGTCACGTAATCCTTGTCTGAAAATACAATTAAAATCAAATGTGTAAAAATTATTGCAAAAAGAACTAAAGTTGCCCGATAACCGAGGAAACCAGTCTATACATTTCCAAACTTTTCGAAAGACGTTATACTAGTTAAACATGCTTCTGTATTTAAATCATTCCTGCTATCGGTAAATGATAAAGATACGGACCTACGTCGTAAGTATTGGATTCTGAAACTCCTAATAGACGTTTTATCGTGACTTTTGTAGTTGCTTTACCAATCCTTTAATCAAACTTATTGATACCATCCTTAGGATCATCAAATCACGGTCATATTGTGACAATGTATACTTTAAAAGTGAATCTGAGTTTTGAAGATCTCTTAAGATATTTTGATTAATCTTCAGCATTCTATCATCATTTTATTCTACCAGAACCTTTGATTTCTGTCACTGCCGTAACTGAAAGTAACTGATAAAAATTAACACCATCGTTTCCTTTCCTAAGAACGCTGAACAGCGATATTAAAATAAGGTTGTAAAGCAATATTTGGGGAAAAAAACCGACCTACAAAGCCTGATGAAATATACTGGAAATGAAATCGTGGTAATAGTTCCAGATATCAAAAAAGACTGTTGGAATTCATATTGGAACAAACCATTTTACTAGATGTTTGTCTCACTCGTGCAATAGAAACAATCAATAGGAAGTAAAACAATCAATGGAAAGTTAACCAATAACTTAGAGGTAAACCAAAAAGTGGAAAGCAAACCGATAACTGAGTAGTAAACCAATAACTTGGAAGTAAAACAATAACTGAGATGTAAACCAACAACTGGAAAATAAACCTATAACTGAGAAGTAAACAAAAAACTGAGATGTAAATCGACAACTTGAAAATAAACCTATAACTGAGATGTAAACCAACAACTGGAAAATAAACCTATAACTGAGAAGTAAACAAAAAACTGAGATGTAAACCGATAACTGGGAAGTAAACCAATAACTGAGAAGTAAACCAATTACTGGGAAGTAAACCAATAACTGGGAAGTAAACCAATAACTTGGAAGTTAAACAATAACTGAGATGCAAACTAACAACTGGAAAATAAACCTATAACTGAGAAGTAAACAAAAAACTGAGATGTAAACCAACAACTGGAAAATAAACCTATAACTGAGAAGTAAACAAATAACTGAGATGTAAACCAACAACTGGAAAATAAACCTATAACTGAGAAGTAAACAAAAAACTGAGATGTAAACCGATAACTGGGAAGTAAACCAATAACTGAGAAGTAAACCAATACTTGAAAAGTAAGCCAATAACTGAGAAGTAAACCAATTACTGGGAAGTAAACCAATAACTGGGAAGTAAACCAATAACTTGGAAGTAAAACAATAACTGAGAAGTTATCTGAGTGCCTCTTTCAGGCATTGCTAATATGTACATATAATGCTAATAAATAAAACAGTATTAAAACTAATAGTACCTTTCATTATCAATATAGTAAAACGCTAATATAAAGCATAGCTAAATGTTCATATGAAACAATGATACAGAATAAAACTGAAATATATCACCGTTACAAATGAAATACTAATCAATTAACAATGTTAATTTGTTACAATAATACAGAACAATGCTAATATATAACACAGCTCATTCTAAACAATTTACAATGATAACATACAAAAATAATATAAAACAATGCTAGTATATAACACCGCTTATACTTATCAATAAACAATATTAGTGTAGGACAATAGTAAAGAACAATGCTAATATGAAACAAAGCTTATTCTAAACAATTTACAATGATAAAATACAAAAATAATATAAAACAATGCTAGTATATAACACCGCTTATACTTACCAATAAACAATATTAGTGTAGGACAATAATAAAGAACAATGCTAATAGGAAAAAAAGCTTATACTAAACAATTTCCAATATATATAACACCGCTAATACTTATAAATAAACAATATTAATGTAGGAAAATAATAAAGAACAATGCTAATAGGAAACAAAGCTTATACTAAACAATTTACAATGTTAATATCAAACAATGCTTATATACGACACCGCTAATACTTATCAATTAACAATGTTAATAGAAAACAATAATATAGAACAATGCTAATATATATCATATCTATAAATGTTTATTCTTAATAACTAGCAATGTTAATAGAAAACAATAATAAAGAACAGTGCTAATTTAAAAAACATAACTCATTCTAAACAATTAATCATTTTAATATAAACAATGATATAGGACAACGCTCATATAAATCACAGCCAAAAACAATTAACAATGTTACTATAAACGTTAATATAGACGATTACAGTATAAAACAATAACATAGAACAATGCAAATATAAAACAATAATTTACATCAATGCTAATTTAGAACACAGCTAATTCAAAATAATTAACAATGTTTATATAAAAAACAATAATAAAGAACAGTGCTAATATTGATCAAGGATCATATGTTAATATTAATAAAAGGATAAAAAATGACTTAATGAATCACAGCTACAAATGTAATACTAAACAATGAACAATGTTACTATAAAACAATATCTTAAACACAGTTGAAAATGTGAAACTGAACAATTAACAATGTTTATATAAAACAATAAAATAGAATAAAGTAATAATAAAATGATAGCATCTACATCGCTTACAGATAATAATCCTACAATGTTTTCATAAAAACATGGTAATATAAAAGATAAATAACTGAGTATCAAATTTCGTATATGTTAGTTTAGTATATAAGACACAAGTATATCTAACATATTATTTTTATTTCTATTAAATAGGGGAAAATAATTGATTTTTTTTACCTATTAATGTATTTGAAACCAAATCAATGCATTCATATTTTGCATTTTAAAAGCATTTTATATCGCAACAATTGTTTCTATTCTGGCTATCATTGACCCACCTTTTGTTTAAAAACAATGAAGGGAATACATAAATCCTTAAGTCATACGCCGTCCATTTTGACACTGTATTCGGACTAAAGGAAATCACGCGGGGGTTTCCCAATGTAAATCTTCTCTTCAGTTCAAGGTTTATACGACTACCCAGTCGTGACCTGGCCTCAATTTAGCTACTAAAATAGGAATCTATGTCATAGAAGGCTTACACAAGGAAGGCCCAATACAAATAACTAGTGTTTATCAATGGAACCGTAGCGGAACGCACAGTGCTAACAAATTGTATTATGTGTTGGTATGGAAATGATTATGAATAAAATTATCTGAACGTCTTTCCATCAACAAATCCACATAAATTATTGGTCTGTTGTGGTTGCTGGTAATTATATATGTCCTATTTGAATGACAGCGTTATAATGGTAAATCATGTAATGTTTTATCTTATTTTAGATGGAGTTTTCCTAACAGGTAAATCATGTTTTTTATAATGTTATTTTAAATCGATATTTCTAAGAGGTAAATCATGTTATGTATTATCATATTGCAGATGTAGTTTTCTGACAGATAAATCATGTTATATATTATCTTATTTCAGATGTAGTTTTCTGATAGGTAAATCATTGTATATATTATCTTATTTCAGATGTAGTTTTTTGACAGGTAAACCATGTTATATATTATCTTATTTCAGATGTAGTTTTCTGACAGGTAAACCATGTTATATAGTATCTTATTTCAGATGTAGTTTGCTAAGAGGTCAATCGTGTTATGTATTATCATATTGCAGATGAAGCTTTCTGACAGGTAAATCATGTTATATATTATCTTATTTCAGATTTAGTTTTCTAAGAGGTAAATCATGTCATGCATTATCTTATTTCAGATTTATTCGGAATAATACAGTTATATATTAGCTTATGTATTATTAGAATGTAGTTTCTAGGAGGTAACCAATGTTATGTATTATCTTATTTCAGATAAAGAATTTTAAGGGTTAAATAATGTTATGTATTATCTTATTTAAGATATAGTTTTAAGAGGTAAATAATGTTATGTATTATCTTATTTCAGATATAGTTTTAAGAGATAAATAATGTTATAGTATCCAATTTCTAATGCAGTTTTGCAGAGGTCAAAAATGTGATTGTTATCCTATTGCAGTAGAAGTTTAGTAAGAGCTAAATAATGTTAATTATTATCATATTTCAGATGAAGTTTACTTAGAGGTAAACAATTTCATATATTACATATATCTTACTGCAGATGACGTTTTCTCAGGTCCCGTCGAGAGATGCATGATTTCCATAGTTGCAATTGCTTTTCTATACAATGGTTTCCTCATACTTCATTTTTTTTCTTTTTGGATTGTGGAAATTCATACATTGTCTACAATGTACATTATGTTTTGTATATTGCAATACAGGGTGCAATTATAAATGTTTGTATACAATTATTAAAATGCTGCCAAAATATATATGTTGGATATTAGCCATACATGTACACCTCTGACCTCTCCTATTGAAATTTAAGGTAAACCAAACGTTGTAATCGATTACCAGAATGAACGAGTGATCCCACAAGATTTTTTTTATCTTAATAATGAAAACAAGTTTGATTTGTATGGTAGATAAAACACACACATAGTTGATTCCTTATGTGTAACACTACACAAGTATTTACCTCGGCGTAGTAAACATGACTAATGTCTGATCTCGAATATATGTGTGTATCTCCTTCACTGATACACCATAATATACCAATACAAAGACACGACCTTTCGCTCGCATTATATCGATCTGCTGATGTCTATTTACAATATACAGTATACTGTAGGCTGTATGTACAGACATACTCTCATGTCACCGAGTACTACCTAAGGTGTGTCCATACGGGTACAATACATACTCTCATGTCAACGAGTACTACCTAAGGTGTGTCCATACGGATACAATACATACTCTCATGTCACCGAGTACTACCTAATGTGTGTCCATACGGATACAATACATACTCTCATGTCACCGAGTACTACCTAATGTGTGTCCATACGGATACAATACATACTCTCATGTCACCGAGTACTACCT